TATTGACTTTCTCTCCACACCATGCATGCATGCAAGATGCAACTATTTAATGATTTTAAAAATCTTTTTCTTCCAAACTACTTAACTGATGAGCGATTCGATCATACCGTTGAATTCGTTATAATTAAATCTTTACAATAAGATATCACATGATTATATTCTGATGAAAGAAAAACATATGTTTCAAACCATAAAAACTTAATGTTTCATACGTGATAGAAATATGTTTCACCATATGTTTTTATTGTGTTTCACAAAATTTTTATATATGTTTGATGATGGCATAGTACAATTAAGATCTGAAGTGGCACCTAGTCGATCAAAACCAAAGTCAAAAATCTGCAGCCTAGACAATAATACTACTAGAACAAAGAAAGGCTAAAGAAATGAATTTTCATTTTAGAAACAATTCGTGGAGCAGTGCATGTCTGCTTCATCTTTCAGGATCGGTTCCCAGCTGGGTGTGGCTTGTAGATGGTTCCGACCTAACCCCATATTTGCCATCGGCATCCACTTTTAGGCAAATTCAAATGTTAACCATTCAATTTAATGATAACTGAATACTTGCTCCCAAAAGGGAGGCTGGCAGAAAATCATAGGCAAATAAGCACTAAGCAAAAATCATTTGCCCTCATCACCTAATTAATGCCCAACTATGTACAATGTATTTGTCAGTTAGAACTCACTGTTGCGCTAATTCACTACACATGAGCTCGCCGCTGTGCATGTGTGCTGATGAACTGAACAAATACGGTTTTGCTTTGATTAACCAGAAAGACCATAAAACAATATAATGCTCCCAGCCACAAACATACACAGAGTCGTCCACTAACTTCATGAAACTGAGCCGAATGAATCAACTAAAACCAACACAAAATCCAGAAGCAGTTCGTCCACTAACTTCATAAAACTGAACTAAAACAGCCGACTAAATCACTAAACATTCACAAAGGAAAGACACTCAGACATGCAACTAGACATATACTCATACAAGCAAGTTACAATATTTATTTATAATTTAAGATAAAGCTTTTCTTACTATCAGTTAATATACATCTCAAACACAGTAAACTCAATATCTAATATACCAAACACAAAGTTAAACAAACACTTTTCAACAGACATACAAGCAGTAGGAATAGCAAAATAATATAATGAACAAAAAATAAAAATAATGATTCATGGAGACCTCATAGAACACATTTGTGGAAAAAAATCAATACAAACATGCACATGCACATGCAGAATTACATTTTCACATACACAATAAAAATACATCCACAAGCAGTATTTCACATCAACCATTAAATTGCTCAAAAGCCACTAGCTCATTGTTTAAAAGGAAAACCCACAAAAAATTCCAGAACCACACACATTCAAGTTGAAAATAAACAAAAAAAAACTAACTCACCTTAGATGAAAATGATAGATTTGTGATTGAAACACCAAAACAGAGCCAAAATACAAGCAAAAAACCTGCAAAACAAATTAGAGTTAGAATAAATCATGCAAGCATCAATGAAGTTTAAACAAACATAAAACATGTATGTGCTCTACTCAAGGGTGTGTGTTTTCATCGTTCTAGAAGTCAGATCTAATCGCTGCTAAACAACAAAATGATTCACAACAAATCACCTTGAGAACAACACAAAAACTCTTCAACGAATCATAACTCCACCAACAAAATCGAAGGTGGCACCAAAAATCGATCAACTAGTCAAACAACACAAGCAAAAAATGCAGCCAAAAAATGGCGGTGGTGATGGCTACTGCTGCAGAAAACGATGGGAAAGAAAAACAAAAGCAAGGGAGCAAGTACTAACCACCAACAGCAACGATGATGAATCACGAACCAGTAGCTCCAATGCCGCCGACGCCGCGACGAAATCTCTAGCTCGACGGTGCAGTGAGCTCGCCTGCTCCTCATCTCGGTGAAATCGCTGGTCTTGGCTCTCTCTCTCAGCTGCTTCTCTCTCTCCCTTGGATTCTGTAGGAATAAACGAGATACTCCCTCCATCCCATAATATAAGGCGTGCACTTATTTCTGGATGCGAAAGAAGATTCGATCAACGTACAAGGTTTGCCTTCTTGTGAGAAGGTGAATTGTGTTCTCAGTACAAAAGGAGTCTTTGCTCCCCGGCGCGCTACGGCAACACCCCCTGCTTGCTTCTTTCTGTTCAACGCGGAGCTCGCAGCCTCCCCACCCTTGCTTAGCGTTCCACTTGTGATCCTGGAGGATTTGGAGAAATGCGCCCGACCATGAAGAATGGATTTTTTCTTATCTTTCATGTGAACGGCCCTATCTCGTAAAGAATGGTTTTTCGTGCTATAGACCACGTTGCCTCGGAATAGACGCGTCCATGGCATCCTTCATTCTGCTTGATTACGAGTTTTTTGAGTATTGATAAAATATACTAAAGAATCGTCACCCTCTTTATTTCATAGGAAGGCCGAAGCCCTTTTCAGAACCTGCCCATGATAGCTGGTCGGCAAAATGACCCCGTAACTTCGGGAGAAGGGGTGCTCTCCTATCTTTTGATTAGGAAAGCGGCACATACCAGGGGGTAGCGACTGTTTATTAAAAACACAGGACTCTGCTAAGTGGTAACACGATGTATAGAGTCTGACACCTGCCCGGTGCTAGAAGGTCGGAAGAGGAAAGGAAGAGTGATTAAAACAAGAAGTACCGCATGATTTATTTCTTTTAAAGATTTTTCCATACACCCGGGAAGTGGAATAGAACTATAGGTTCGAGTTTAGCCAAGATACGTACACGGCTAAGTGTATTAAAATCCAAGAAAGAATCAGGGCTATCTAAAAGCTAGGAAGGAGAAGACCGCAGGATCTGTAGTGACATCTTCTCCTGATGTGCAATTGGAGGCACTTGTGCTAGTTGCTGCATCTTCACCGCGTCCATTCTACTATGATCACTTCGACGTCATATTTCGAATCCTTCTTTGCTTGGGACTCCGACCCTCCCCTGCCGCCGAAGCACGAACTACTTGAAATCGCGGATCGACAGCTTCCTGCGACATTCCTTCAATGCAAACGTGGTATTTTTCTGACATACGTTGCGGGTGTCCAGTTGGCATATGGGTCTGGGTTCCGCTCATCAACTCGAACGGTCAATGCTGGCCAGATACCTGCATCGTTATACGTCACAAGTTGGGGTGGTTGAACAGGAAAAACAACAAGGCAGGCGATAGGCACACACACCTATGAGAAACAATTCCACAGGAATTGGGCAGAACTATTAGTTCAATATAAGAAATTTCATATCACCATGGGACTTACTAGTAAAAAGCGAATATCAATTCATGACAGCGATGGCCGCTTAGTTGGTACTAAACCCCATCATATTGGGGGAGATGAGTTCAAAAACTTTGGCCATACGGCCCATCGAGCTTTAAGCAGTGTTTTAGATGAAAACGAGGTACTATTGAGAGAATTGTCGAGCTTGGCTGATCATAACACTCCCAAAAGTAGTGGAAATGACACTAACCCTAGCCTGAAGGAACCGTAGAAAAATAAACTACGATAAGTATCGAGAGTAGAAGTCGAGAACAACTGTGTGAAGTAGAAGCTGGGATAGAAAGGGTTGGAATTCTCAGCGATCAGTGGTTGATCTGATCAGTGAACTTTTGGTGAGTTCATTGGTATCGGGTGGTCCGTTTCATCCTCTTTCGGCAAAGGAAGTTAGACTTTAGTTAGCTAAAAAAACAGTACCAGCAGCCTGTCTGTGCCCTTTGAGTCTATAGCCGCCAAATGTAAAGATTCCTTAAGTTGTCGTACGGCTTCTTTTTCTTCTTTTGTCAATGATCGGTGACAATGAATGCTACGAATGTTCGCTTCCACTAATGTCGTCTAAGAATTGTGAGGTGCCCATAGCTTCCCGGAAAGAAGAAGAGTCATTGTCGTTTCCTAACCGATATGAATGCACATATTTACCCTCGCCTCGGGGAATACCACCAGTAGAGTCTGTAGAAGGTGTCGTTCAGGAGAGATGCTGGGCTCTAGATATGCGACTGAGATACCCACCCTCGGTCATGACATAATAGGAGATTGATCTCTTACTCTTTCACCCCGAAAACCTTCTCCCCAGCTCAAGATCACTTTCTTCTTTTTCTGGAAATAAGTAGATCCAGGTATGTATCTAACTCGCACCCCACGCCTGACTGCGTTCTCGTGTCGTTATAATGGGGTGCTTTTTTCTCTTGCCTTCTGGATGGTTCTGAAGTAGTGAACAGCTTCCGACCATTATGACCTTTTATTGAATTTTGGATTTTCTATAGGAGCTCACTACTGCTGCATTTCAAATGTGCCCGCTTTCAAGATTTAACCTTTAAAATATTTGACCAACGTTTAATGTAATATGAAATGAATTTTATTTGTTAAAAATTATATCATTAGATTGACATTTAAATTTACTTTCATATGATTATAATTTTATTGCTACAAACCTTATAGCATATGAGAAATTATAAGTTAAAAATTAGTTTTGAAGACCGTGCAACTTTTACCATGCCTTATATTATGGGATGAAGGGAGTAAATGGTCAAGGTGGGACCCATACAACGGATGAAGTAGGCGTTGATTTCAAAGTGGTGAACAGTGAAAGTGGGACCCACAGAACAACAAAAATGGGCCCATATAAACCCAGCCCAAAAAGAAGATGCAAAGCCCATATAAATCAATATCATAGCCCATATCAGAGAAACTAAAAGTCCAACCCACACCCGTGTGCTGCACGAATCACAAAGAAGATGAACGGCAGAAAAAACGACAGATTTGGCACTCTAAAATCTGTCAACAGAGCAATAGCAAATCCGTCAAAAAAAAAAAACCAAACAATTAGCGTCGACCCGATTGGATTCGGAGTCCGAATCGGATCCGCACCCACCCTAGCTCCCGTCCCGCCGCTGCCTTTAAAAGCAGAGCACCCCCTTCCTTCCCTCGCTTCTTCCTCCCGCGCGCTCCATCCATCGCCTTCTCCCATCGACATGGCCAGCCTCGATCTTCTCCTCAAGCTAGGGTTTCGCTTCAACCCGTCTCAGGAGGAGGTCATCACCTACTACCTGCCACGGCTCATCGCCGGCCACCCGCCCAAGGACACCGAGGGGTACATCCACCGCGCTGACGTCTACGGCGCCGACGAGCCCAGGGACCTCGCCGGCAAGTACGCGCCCGTGGCGAGGAGCCCCAATGGCGACCGGTTCTTCTTCACCGGTTGCAAGCGGGTCAAAGGGAAGTTCTCCCGCTCCGCCGGGGGTGGCACCTGGGTCTCGCAGTCCAGCAAGGATCTCAAGAACAGGGAGGGCATCAAGATCGGCGAGGTCAAGAACTTCCGCTTCAAGAAAGGTGGCAACAACACGGATTGGTTGATGGAGGAGTATCACCTCTGCGGGAAAGAAGCCGGTGGTGTCGTCGAGCCCGTCGTCTGCCGGATTTACGTCTCCCCGAGGGCGGCTCCTGATTCGGTGGCGCACCAAGAATCAGCCGCCCTGCCGCCGCCTCAAGAACTCGTGCCGCCGCCCCAAGAACTCGCGCCGCCGCCGTATCCTGCAGCACAGGCGGCGCCGCAAGCTCCTGCGCCGCCACGACAAGTGCCCGTGATCACGCAGCAGCAGGCGCCGCCCCAGAAGAGGCCCGCCGCGCCGGTCGCCGAGCCGCCGTGCGCCACCAAGAAGATGAAAGGCGCTGTCTCGGCAAAACCAATGGCGCCGCAGAGCAGCGTGACGGCGTCCGCGGCGCCACCCCGGTGTGCCGTGGCGCCATCGCAGCATCATCCACCATTCCAGACCTACCCGACGGACCCGTTCGAGCCACCGGCGCCAGCTGCCTCGGTGACTCAGCCGTCTGTCCCTGCGACGCCAGAGCAAGGCCCTGCTTATGTACCCGATCCGGCTGACATCGGCATGGAAATGGACGAGCTTATGAGCTTCCTGGACAGTATACCAGTCGACGGCATCCTCCCTTCCCAGCTATATGAATACGACGAGCTCGCCAAAGAACTGGAGGACGCGCTACAAGGAGGAGGAGAAGAGGACGGCAATGACAATCCACCGCGGTGTGCGACTCCTCCTCCTCCGCGACCGGCATCTTGGCCCGCCATGGCGCCACCGCCGCCGCCTCATCCACCCATCTTGACCTTTCCCAAGGATCCGTTCGAGACCAACGAAGAAGACGAGGGCGAGGACGATTTTGCGAGCATGCTAAGAGGCCATGTGTTCGCTCCTTCAGTCGTCGCGGAAGAGGTGGATGTGACAAGCAGTCGCAGGGGGGCTACCGTGTGCTTCTGAAGGACATGGGCGACGATCAAATTGACCAACAGTGGCTGAAGGTGTCTCTGAAAGACTACCACCATCTGATGAAGAGCTGTAAATTGTAGTGAAGATTAGTTGTGAAATTCTTTACATTGTACAAGAGAACACGAAATTCTTTATGTGACCAAATTCGTCACGTCAAGAGTAATTATGAGTTCGTGTGAACATATAGTGTTCAGCTTGCTTTGTAATTGAATTGTTCCTGTTGTGTTCTAAGAATTATGTTCTGCAACAATTGCATGCGCAGAGTTTGAACTGCAGACAAATTTGTTGTCAGGATCAAAGTTATGCACTTCTCTTGCATTTCGTAAGTTATTGTGCAAAAGTTGCGGATCAGATGAAGATTGGAAGGACTAAGCATGCACTGGATTAGAAGATACACGTACAACACAAAACACATCAAACGGCAACAGTCACAGTAGTTGGTTTCGGAATATGTAGAGTCTCTGATAAATATGATTTCAATCTTTCCCAGACATTTCCAAATGCATTTCCAGTACACTAAACAATCTAGCTAAAGCAGCCTAAAAAACATGCCATGTGATGCTCTTTCAATCTTGGTTATTTGAGAGCAGCATGTAGTTGCAACGTTGGAGACGGATTTCCTGCAACCTCAACTAGCGTGTAGTCAGATAGATACACAGAACTCTCTTTCCGTAGCAACCCAGCCAGCCAGACATCCCAGTTCAAACCTTGGCACAACAGGTTCTCCAGTACAAGCTGAACCGGTGCATCTTCGGCCCAGCTGCAAAACAAAATGCTCAAATTATGAGTAGGATATTGATCATATTTGCTCAGATATCAATGTCATAGTAGATAACTAGATACTAGAAACACAAAGGTAAATAACAGAAATTTGTTATTTGCTTTGGTCATATGATTATCATCAATGGAGTTTGATCATAATTCGTACCTCCAAGTTGAAACAGTGTCATGGACAGAACAGTCAATCGATGTTTTCAGTTTATACTATTAATGTACTACTATTATCATCCTCTCTTTAAAAAAAAGGAACTACTATTGTCATGCCTGACTGCCTGTGCACAACATTACCTCAATTAATCACTTCTTACTACCCAAAGTGAGTAACTTGCTTATAAAAACAAATAAGGTGAAATACGATACACAATAATTTTTTAAGTTGACCCTAATCCATAAGCACCAGTTAAAAGCTTCTATTCCTCCAAAAGAATTAAGTATCGTAGAACATATAGAATAACACCCATTGCATGACTGGCAGTAAACTCCTCATTTTTATTTTGTAAATTTTTTTCTGGTAGCAATGTAAAGTTCCCTATTTTAGAGTTGAGTAAGAGATCCATGCCCATCTGATCAAACTGTTTGTACCCTGATGGCCCTTTCTGCCAGTTGCCTGCCTAGAACTAGAAGTGCACCCCGCTCTTGCAGCGCATGTAAGATTGTCAAATAATTGGTGAGCCTTGTCTTCAAAATGGAAGCATCACCGTCTGATTTCTTCTCTTTGACAGTTGAGGAGGTGATTACTATCTATTTCTTCTTGCTGATTTCATAGTACAGTACAAAGTTGCATATAGTTCACCGTATGGAGTCAAATCATAACATAAATCTTAGTGACACTTTACGAAATGAAAATGTAAAAAGGTTGGGGCCCAAAATAGCTTCTACTCACCATATCATCCATGCTCCCCAGTAACAAATGTCATAGCCGAATTAAACCCTGTCATACCAATAAGTACATAAGAAATCATGGGGTTTGAGATATGAACAATTTAACTGACTAAACTAAGAACACCATAGCAAGTTATGCATATTAGCATAGTTATAAACATGTAGCGAAAAAGTTAAAGAACAGGAGTACTTGTTTCTTGGTTCTTCACCGGGTGGATCAAGTTTTCTATCTACGCCGTTATCAAAGTATTTAAATCACCACCCGTTAACGCTATATATCTTTTCATTCAGTAATGTACTAATTTTCAACAATTTGGTGTTCAAAAGCTCAAATAATAACGCAAGCATATTTTTTACATTGAAAAAATGCATTTGGTAAGTATGTATTAAGCTTAGGCCTTAGGCGCTCCTCATACCTCATTAACATCTATCTCCAAGGAGCACGAAGCAACCTAGAATCCTAAGAAATTATCACACTACAGTTATTACCAACCACTATTTCAGCTTCTACTTCTGTTTATTGGTACTCACCTGATGCATTTAGGAAGAAAACACCACCATATCATGTTTAGCATTGGTCAAAAGCTCATGTGCTATCTGTAGGATTTACAGACAGGATGTCAAGAGTAGCCTTTTACTCAACTAGTAGACCTTTAGACTAATAGTTGATGCAAGTTTTAGACTAAAGCATTACTACTGTTTGAATGCTGTGTAACATGAGTTGATCCACAGCTACAGATCCAAATTAACATTAGCATCTTTGAGCCAAATTTGAGGCTTTGAGACAGCAATTTGGAGAGGTGGAACTTTTTGTACTCCTCAAGTCAAGATTCCTCCTGTAGGTTATGATAACCTTAAGCACTTTGAAAAGAAACATGGTTTTTATTGTAGTTTGCTTGAATATATGCATTTGCTCAAAAAATGTCCTCTAGCAAAGGTTTTCTCTTGAATTATGCAGATCGTCTGCCATTGTTAAACTACATATGATTGCAAAGCAATTGAATTATAATAATGGTTGAGGACTGTATGGATACGTTTTGTCATGAAAGTTTGACCTATTGGTCATATCTTTTACAAAACTTATATAATGCACAGCACATGACACATTTCTTGACCTGTAACACTTACATTGTGAGACGAAGAGTGGATTGCAGAACTCAAGACCAACAATTGGCTCATATCCTGCAAGTAATCAACAACTATAAACATAAACCATGGCTGAATAAAGATACGATAAAGAATATAAGCACCAGCTATAAACATCTACTTCTTCAATGTGATTGAACTTGTCATAATTCTCACTAAAGAACAATGACCAGGCCAAGGAGGGCATGTCCTCGTCTTCTAATAGCAGGTATTGAATTCATTCTGACTTTTCCTGTGACAGGCTGTGGATGGAGTTCAATCCAGCACTCAGAGGAAAGGTTGGGACAAAGATTCAATTTGCTCATCATAATAAATGGATTAGATTCATCTTGGCACTGATTTCCTCATTTAGCAATACCTGGACATGAGAATACATTCAAACAGAGTTTTAAGTGACAGCAGTGAGTTTGCTTTTACTATCACTGTAACGGAATCAAGATGGACACGCTGATTCAATTGAAGAAACCAAGAAGAACATAAATACGTTATAGAAGTCATGCAGAATTGATGTTTTAAATTCAGGAGATATACTGAACTTTAGCTGAGAGAGCTGTCTATGCTGCTTAATGAATAAAATCTTCCAATTGAAAGTACAGCAATATATTGAGGTAACTCACGCTGAAGTGTGCTTCTGAATTTTTTTCACAAATACAACTACATGAAAAATTGCTATAGGAGGGAGATAACATTCTCAGAATTTCATATCATAAATGGCTATCACTTTCCAAATAAGGGCATGGCAACAGTGCTAGAGTGGAGTGGAACGATTGATTGACTGGTACAAAGTTTAATCAGCTTGAGCAGGATGCAAATTTGAGTAGCACTACAGTACAACACAGTACATACCTGGAATTGCAGTGGAATATAATGGCACTCATGAGTCCCAGTACAGGCCATGATACATCAGCTCGAGCCTGGAGTGCTCTGATTTGGGTCCTCACAGTTCTGCTCATTCCATCTGATAAAATCGATGGCTGGAATATCTTTGCATAAAATGCAAAGAACTTCTCTGTTTATCTAGCCTGGAAGAAAATCATAAATCATGGATCTGCTACAAAAATCAACAATTGATCTCAGTGGGCTGTCCCCCTTTTGTAACTCTGCTTTTGTTTGTATCAGTCATAGCTAAGTTGGCAAATTCTTGAGTATATCTACGCACCACTCACAGATATGATGTATGCACACAAGTATATGGTCCCTTCTGATATGCACTCTCTTCCTTTTTATATATATTCTTTCTAGGGTACTCTCTTCCTATTTATACTATACTTGTTCCTTGATGCATATTTTAGTCAGAGGAATAATATTTTGTTAATGAGTATTTACAGGGGTTAAAATAGTTTGAACAGTATGAAAGCACTATAATGGGAATAACTGGTCGTACATCAAGACATCACTAACAAGATTTAATGTGGAAATAGCATCTGTTTCAGTAGTCATAAACCTACGCTCCTCTTTAACACTAATCTGAACTCTAGAACAAATAGCATCTATCTCAAAGACAAGGATTCTATGAAAGATTAGAGTCTAAATTTCACACTTGGACACTTGGTGGTCGCTCTATGTAAACTGTCATTTATTCTACAGCAATGTCCGCAAGCACTGAACGGGAAGGAGCAAGTAAAGCTGGATATAGTGGTGGAGGTGATGAAGACATGAGCTAAAGGTTTGATGGGGGCACTTTAATCTGGGGTTTGATAGTCTAATCTTCTGTGCTAGCTATTTCCAGGACTCTGTTCAGGGTAGTGTGTGCCTGTTCTACTGCTGACAGATTTAGTAATGTGATGGTAGTTGGTTCTGCTGCTCTTTTAGCATGCCTCATAACCCCAATATAAACCTTTCACACTTTGTTCTAAATTTTGAATAGTTGAGCTTAGGCTTTTAATCCAAAAAAAGGAAGAATTCACATTTCACAATCATCAAGCAGTGTTTCTAAGCCACTTAAATAGATAACAATGTTCATGATGAGTACAGTTCCCAATCAGTACAGCAATGTTCGCGATCAGTATGCTTTTAATCCAAAAAAGCAGAAAATTTCCAAGGCACTAAAATTGATACACTAGACCATCAAACCTTATTTGGTGAAGATGCCGAAACTATATTTCCGTCTTCAAAATAAAAAAACTGAAGGTGAGTGCGGCTCTAACGCTTGTCAATTCCTCTCATAATGAATCACCTGGAAACACAGAGAGTGAGAGAAATGGAGATTTTGCGCGCACAAGGAGAGGGCGAAGACGAATGCCGGGACGGGGAAAGAGATTGGGTTGTTACCGCGAAGGATCTTCCGGTGCATGATGAGCCCCTTCCACTCTATTCCTCCCCACTAGATCCCTCATCTCTTTACCATCCCAGCCTCGGGCAGAGATCGCAGGCAGCGCCGCGGCAACCAGCAGGTCGAGGCGGCAAGGTGCATGGAGGGCGTCTCCGGTGGCTCGTCGGCAGCGGAGCTATTGAACTCGGCGTTCTGATCCTGCTCGTTGCTCCGGGGCCGTGGCGCTTTGGTGGGTGGGGCGCGCGTATGGCGGCCGCGGCTGGTAGCGAGACCGAGGAACGGAGCCACGGAGGTGGGGAGTGTGGGAGAGACGGCGTCAGCGTGGGCGTGGGCGGGCCGTTATGGACTGTGGGCCGAGAAGCTGATGAACAGTCTTTTACGGCTGAAGGGGAAAGGGAAAGTTGGGTTATGGAACTGGCGCTATCTCTTCCCACGTTTTCTTTTTTTTTATCGCTATTTTTTCCATCTTTTTCGTTTTTTTTCGTTTTATTCGCTTCCCCTCCCATCGCGTGTTTTTTCTTTATTTCTTTTTTTTCCGATTTTTTTAATCGATAGCACACATGTTTTAAAAATAGTTTACTCGAAAAAGTTTTCAAATCTTAACTTGAAAGTTTTTCAATTTGAAGGAAGTTCCAAATCTCGACTCTCGAGTGGAAAGTTTTTCAAATATCATGTTGAAAATTTTCAAATCTTGACTTTTCAAACTCTAGTCCAAAGTTTTCAAATCTAAGTTGACAGTTTTCAAATCCCGAGTTGATTTTTTTTTCTTTTTGTGTTTTTTTCTATTTTTTTAATCGATAGCACATGTATTTTCAAAAATATTTGAGTCGACAGTTTTCAAAAAGTTTTTCAATTTGAAGGAAGTTTCAAATCTCGATTTGAAAACTTTCAAATCTAGATTTGAAAGTTTTCAATCTCGAGTTGAAAGTTTTCAAATCTGAGTTGAAAGTTTTTCAAATCTGAGTTGAAAGCTTTTCAAATCCTGAGTCGAAATTTCTTTTTATCTTTTTATGTTTTTTTCCGATTTTTTTAATCGATAGCACACGTATTTTCAAAAGAAAATTGAGTCGAAAGTTCTCAAATCTTTAACTTGAAAGTTTTTCAATTTGAAGGAAGTTTCAAATCTCGAGTGGAAAGTTTTCAAATCTCGAGTTAAAATTTTTCAAATCTGGATTTGAAAGTTTTCAATCTCGAGTTGAAAGTTTTTAAAATCTCAAGTTGAAAGTTTTGATATCTGAGTTGAAAAAGTTTTCAAATCTGGACTTGAAAGTTTTCAAAATCTCGAGTTGAAAGTTTTCAAATTTGAGTTGAAGGTTTTCAAATCCCGAGTAGAAAGTTTTCAAATCTCGAGGTGAAAAATTTCAAATCTGAGTTGAAAGTTTTCAAAATTTGTCTTATACATTCAAATTTAGAGTTCAAAATTTTCAAAGTTTGAGTTGAAAGTTTTCAAAATTTGACTTCAAAGTTTAAATCTTAAGTAGAAAGTTTTTAAAACTAATTTAAAGTTTTCAATCTGTTGTCGAAACGACAACTACATACGTCGAAAGACGTGGTTACTTAATAGTGGTTGGAAAGAAACGAAGTGTATTAGTTTTTTTTTGGAATTTCTCTCCTTCCGGTCCCCTTATTACATGGCCCTAGGGGGCTATTTATAGCCCCATTACAGATTCTTACTACTAGGGTTTAGGTTACACTGAGAAATTTATATGGTTGCCCTTATGAAAGGGACATTTACAGGGTTACATAATGTCAAGGGGGCTTATGGACCCTTGATGGGCCGTCGGGCGATCGCCGGCCCTATAGCCCCTAAGCTTGATGGGCCGGAAAGGCTTCTTTGGCCCTTGCAGGGGCGAACTGGACATGGCGAAGCCGTCTTTCTTCGAGCTGGATGCCAGGGCGAACTGGCCATGGCGAAGTCGTCCTTCTTCGGCAGGTACTCACGCGACCCTTCGCCTTGCATCATCCTTGGTTCATAGCCTGCGCCACGGGTTTCGGCAGATTTGGTCGAATGGCCTCATGCCATCCGCCAACGAGCCCCTCACGGGCAAGGGTGAGAGTGGAGCTTCGGCCGAGACCGTGCAAACCATGTGGTATGGTATGTGGTGCCCCCTTTCGACCGATGCTCCTACCGAAACCTACACTGCTCCTGCAAATAAAATATTCTTATTTTTACCGGGCCGGAAGGGAACAGTATTGGGCTTTCCTTTGACGGGCCTTTTACTGTGCTGCTTGGATGATGCGAATTTACCGTTTCGCCTACCCCTGCGCCATGTGGCGCTTTATGGGTTTTTTACTGTGCTGTTCGGATGATGGGATTTTACCGTTACGCCTACCCTTGCGCCATGTGGCACCTTATGATTGGTGGGTAGGCGAAACGTCGGCCTGGTGGGCTATATATTCCCACCCCTTTCTTTTTCACTGCCACACTTGCCACTTTTACTGCGTGCGCTCTCCTCTTCCGTTGTTTCCTTTCACAGCGTCTCTTGAACTCATTGGCGCTTCGCCTACCCTCTTGTTTCGCCACTTCCCACACACCTTTCGCCACGGCCCCTCGCAAACCAAACCCTGTTCAGGCGGTCGGACCGGACCCTAGTCGGGTCGACGACGATAACACCTCCTTTTTGGGGGTCTCTCTTATGGACGACGACGAGCTGGCGAAGTTGGTCAGCTCTGGGGCGTTGGTTGAGGGGCAGGCTTTCGCCCCAGGGAAAGCGTGGTGCCGAAGCCTGTAGACAACCGGACGGTGGTTTTCACCGTCTTTTTCGAGGCTGGGCTACGGTTTCCATGCAATGTGTTGTTGCCGGAGATCCTTCGCCTCTTCCAGGTGGAACTCCCTCAGTTGAGCCCGTCAGCGCTGGTTCGGATCTCGATCTTCGACTGGGCACGCCGGACTTCCGGGTTCGAACCCAACGCTGCCCTCTTCGGCGCCATATTCTTTGCCACCGTGAACTCGAAGACGGTGGTTACTCCGGCTGGAACAAAGAAGACGGTGTTCGGGAGTGTGAACTTTAACATTCGCCCCGAACGGTCCGACCTCTGGCCGGTGAACGCTGCCATGTCGAAGTGGGACCGCCATTGGATGGCGAGGTGGTTCTATCACACCATCCCCTTCGAAGCCGGCTCTGACTCGGCGAAAGCTCTTCGGTGCCGGCGCAGGGTTATCGTGCCGAATCGGAAACGCAGGATCGCCGTGGACGGCGCTATGGAGGCACGGTTCGCCTTGCTGTGAAAAGTTTGTTCTCGCCTTAGCTGCCGCGACCTGGTGGAGGAATTCTGCATGCTTCGCGTCTTTCCCCTCTCCCAATCATGGCAGGTTACAGTTGATCCGAGCGAAGAGGTTGATGGCTTGCCTAAGCTGGTCCTCCTTGAGGGAATGAACAGTAAGACTGCTCTTTTCGCTATACACTCCCGTGTTTTTACTATTTTGCCTCGTTTGACTTTCAACATGACTCCCCCTCCTTGCCTTTACAGTGCTAACCCTCGACCAAGCTGAGGCCGAAGCCCGCAAGATGATCGGCGATGTGTCGGTCGTCGAGTACAGCCAGTTGCTGACACGGCAGGCAGTTGGTCGAGCGAACTAGGTTTACAATGGCGAGTTGCCTCCTCGGGCGAATCCCCACAAGACCAATGACGAAGCAGGACCTTCGCGGAAGCACACGCGCGGTCAGGTAAAGCTTGCCCCTAGGAAGCATAGGGCTCCTGCTTCGTCGGACTCTGATGCTGATGACGAGGAGGATGCTGAAGGACGTGACGGCGAAGAGGAAGGGGGGGAAGAAGAGGAGGTGGAGACCGTGGTTGAAAAGGCCAAGGGCGAGGCGGTTGAGGGCCGCGCTGTGACTCCCGGCTATACCCCCACTCCGAGTCCTGGCCATAACGAGACCGGGGTGGAGTCGAATAGCTCCCCCCTTCGCCAAAAATACTTAGACGGGGCGAAGGCCCTGGTTGCGTTTTCTTCGGGCAAAGCGGCGAAGGGAGGTCTTGTCAAGAAGGTGGCTAAGAAAAAAGGACTCGTTGATGTCGCTCGTGTTTTTAGCGGCGATGAGTCCTCTGACGGGACTCCGACTTCGCCCGCTGGCCGCAGCTTGGATCTTTCGGCTGCCCCCGTTCCTCCACTCGGCGCCGCTGGAGCAGGCGGTAGTACTGCCGCTGGGGCTTCGGCCTCTGCGGAAAGAATCATGACAGCCGCAGCAAAAGTATTCGGCAGTCCTCTATGTCAGCTGGTTGCGTCGCCGCTGATTGAGGCGAAGGGAAAGAGAGCGGTCGTCGAGACATCTGCTTCGGAATACTCGCTCGCGGTACCCCGCTTCGCCCCTGGCGACTTCGAGACACAGGCGGACCTCCTTCCTTTTGTGGAGGGGGTAAGCAATCTTGTATTGCCTGCCAGTGCCCTAAGCTTGTTCACCGAACTGAATGAGTTCGATGAGGGGTGCTCTGCTATAAAAAGCCTGGCGGTTCGGGTACGTCTTCCCCCCAACTTATACCTCGTGGCTCTGATTTGCAAGCGCTTTGCTTCTGCTTCGTCGTCCGGAAGCCAACCAGTTTCAAGATATTTAACAAACGGGGTTCGCGAGTCATTTGGGTCTTCTCCCAACTTCACTTGGTCGATTGCCAAGACCGTCAAACTGTCCACAGGCACACTTGGTGTGTGCAGTACTTCGAAAAATATGCCAGGCAAATGCGGTCCGCCACAAGCAGCAGATTTCGCCAAGGCGTTTGCTTCCTCGTTCTGGCCCCTAGGCAAGTGTTCAACAGTTATGCCGGTGAAGTACTTTTCCATGGTTCGGACAGCCTCTAAATATTTTTTTCATTCCTTCTTCTTTTGCCTCAAAGGATCTATCAACATGGCCTGCCACCAACTTAGAATCGGTTCGGATTAGCAAGCGCTGAACTCCCAGTGCTTTCGCCTTTCTTAGGCCTAGAAGAATGGCTTCGTATTCTGCTGCGTTGTTGGTTGTGTTAAACTGCAGCCTTGCGGCGTACCAAACTGGGATGCGATTCGGCGAAATGAGTATTGCCGCAATGCCTGCCCCCTTGTGCGACCACGAACCGTCGGAGCACATTACCCAGGGTTGTTCGACGGGCTCGGGTTCAGAGGCGAATACTGGTGTCCATTCGGCTACGAAGTCAGTTAGCACTTGAGACTTAACAGCAGTGCGTGCAACAAAATGCAAGTCGAACGGGGATAGCTCTGCCGCCCATTTGCTAAGCCTGCCTGAGATTTCCTTGCCTCGGAGTATTTCGCCCAAGGGGTACTGTGAAGGCACTATTACTTTGTGGGCCTGGAAGTAGTGCTTGAGCTTGCGCGAAGCCATCACCAGGGCGTAAGCGAGCTTTTCCATTTCGATGTATCTTGCCTTCGCCCCTTGCAGTGCTTCGGAGACAAAATAAACCGGTTTCTGGCCGAACTCTGTTTCTTGGACGAGGGCAGCACTGACTGCCACTGGTGAAGCTGCTAAGTATAGCAGC